GTGCAAATGCAGGTTGAGGCAAGACAAATTCTTCACGATAAGGAATTATCACATGAAATCAAAACATTAGCACCTGGTCCTGATTTTGAAGCAATAAGGTTTAAAGCATACATTGTTAATGGTTTTCGGTTTCGCACAAAAAGTCATGAAAGTGCGAGATGCACTCAAAATAGTGGAGTAGTTACCAAGGCAGAAACAATGAGCTATTCTAGTGCAAAAGATAAACATCCCATTGCTGGTGATCTCATTTACTACGGAGTGCTAACTGATATCATAGAAATACGGTATTCAAGCACAATGAAATTTGGATTGTTCAAATGTGACTGGATTGACAATCAAAAGGGATTGAAATATGATGAATTTGGCTTCACATTAGTGAACTTTAGTCATTGTATGTACAAAGATAATTTGGAAAGTCACGAACCATTTATCTTGGCATCACAAGCGATGCAAGTGTATTATGTTTCTGATCCTTCCGAGGGAAGTTGGCTTGTGGTTGAGCAAATGGCACGAAGAGACAAGTTTGAGTCATATGAGACAGAACCTCGTAAAGATCAAATGTTGGACGAAAATGCATGTTTTGCAAAGGATGACGAAATTTTATGGGTTAGGCAAGGGATAGAAGGCACCACCATTAGTTGAAGTGACAAATTCCAACTAGTGAGTCAATTATGAAAGTCTTAGTGTACTATTTGTTTAGGTTTCATTTATACGATTTCAACATGTTTGGTGTTAAGTAATGGTTAAATTCTGTAATCTATATTGCTTTAACTTTATCTTGATTGCCAATAAAAGAGTTTTAGTGCTTCTTTATTTGGTTATCTTGTAACTAATGATATATGTTTTTCCTCTATTGTGGTGTTACAGACTAAGATTTGGTGAGAAATGATCAATGAAGCTTGTGCAAATAGTTATGAAGATGCCCGCAACAAGAACATTTCAAATAACAAAAGAAAGCTAGAGGTAGCTAGTTTTAGCTTGTATATATTTGATAAAAAAATCAATACTGCAGAGACTATACTAACTATGATTTTTTTTTAAGGAGATGGGGATCTTATCAATGAAAAAAAAGTCTAACAAAAAAAACCCAGTGAGATCTTATATTTTTATTTTTATTTGAATATAGTTGTCGACATTTAGAGCTTCATTATTTAAAGTTCATGTGTTTATTAATAATGTATTTTTTTTATTTTATTTTTGTAGGTAAGCAGGGCTAGCAAAACTGTTAGACCAAGAATTAGAGCAACTAGAAGTCTACAGGATATTGACATAGAAGATTTGGTTGAAGAAGAGACAACAACTATGGTTATTTTTTTATATTTTCATTACCTATTTGTGATTTCCTTGTGCATTAGACTGATTGATATTCTTTGTATTCATATAGCCAGTCAAGTCTCGTATGAATCTTCGCCAGAGATCTTGCATTCATAATGTGCAGTGTGAAAATGGCAATGATGGTATTTTACTGGAAGAAGTAACTGTGCAAAATGACATTTCTCAAGGTCAACTGAAACCTACTAATACTCTATGAACTAGCAAATATTTCATTGTCATTATCTAGTATATATTTTTTGTACATTGATCTAATTAAAATACATAATGTATACTACATATTTTTATGTTTTGAACTATGAATCAAGTGTAGGAGGTGAAGCTGAAAATTGTCAAAAAGGGCGTGGACCAGCAAAGGGACTTCAAACAAAGAATGGTAATAAGCTTGAAGTTGAGTGGAATCAATATTTGCAGCCAGTGGGTGAGAACAAAAGCAAACTTGCATCTTATTTGGGAACTTTGGCACGTAACGGAGTGAGACTACCTCTTTGTTTTGATACATGGAAAAAGGTTCCTCAAAGTATGAAGGATTTTATTTGGGAAGACGTGAAGGTATGATATCATAACTTACATACACAAAAGTTTTAAAATAATATGATTATATTGGTAGATCATGTATTTCAGTTTGCACTTACACTGATAAATTGCAGTTTGTGTTGTCATATCTTATCGATTAACACAACTGTGTTCGTAATTACAGCGCAATGTTGTTGTTCCAGTTGCATATAAAAAAACTTGTTTACAATCCATTTCTGCACAATGGCGTGATTGAAAGTCTCGTGTGAAGGAGGATTACTTTGATACTAACAAAACAAAAGAAGAAAATTTGTCTGTAACTCCTAGCCTCATTTCAGATAAAGAGTGGAAATTTCTTGTTGAAAAATGGCATAAACCAACAGATCAGGTGCATTGATTACATTTCTTTCTTTTCTCAACTATTTTGTTTCATCTATTACAAAGAAAATGACTACAGGTAGATCAATCAGTATTCATTTCTGCTTTTACATTGATGAGATGAGCTAGTGCATTGGACTGTTCATGATTATAGTTGTTACACCCTAATATGTCTTTCCTTAACGGAATTTCTGCTATGCACCAGTCATCTGCCTGTTAATGAACAAATCGGTTGTTAAAAATCTTCTTGATTAGGTAAAAACTTATAACTGCAATCTAATTGAGATCATATCATGCACCACTCAAAATATTTATTTTTAGGAAATTGCTGCCAAAAATCAACGCAATCGAACTTTTGTGGGCCCTCCACATCGTACTGGAAGGAAGTCATGTGCTGATATACGCTACGAGGTTTGCATCATTCATCTTTTATTTGTGTGCTTAGTTTAACTTCTCACGTGAATGGACTTTTTTTATAGATGGAACAAGTTGGAAAACCGACAGATAAATTGAGCGTCTACCTTGAAATGAGGGTGAATAAAGATGGCACACCAAAAGACCAGTTAACTCTTGAACAGATAGTAAGTTGTATTTTGAATATATTATATTAAATCTATAAATATATTACTAACTGTAACTTATTCATCTCTCAAGGAAGCATTTAATGAGCGATTAGATGAGCTCGATGAGGATGAGCGTGACTGTGTAGAAAAAAGAAATGAAATATTTGATGAAGTTATGGGACCTGAAGGCCATGGGCGCTGCCGCACAATGGGAACTGGACCAACCAAATCTCAAATAAATAGCAAGATGAGAGAGGATGAATCACTTGGCAACAAGGAGCAACTTAAGAAAGAACTAATGGAAGAGGTTAAAAATCATTATGAGCCTATAATTGCTGCATTGAACTCCAGAATTGATGACTTGACAGCCAAGTTGGATGCCTCACAAGAACAAGTTTGTAACACACTATACTTTTTGCTATATTTAATATGTGTCAAAACATAGGAAAGCATGTATGAAGAATATATTGAAACAAACAACTTTAAGTGATTTTAATTATTTAAGTGCTTTAGCATTACTAATTTGTATTACTTCTTTTTCTATAGGTATTGGAGCAGCCATGATGGTCATCCCAAATTGATGGAAAATATTTTGGTTGAAGTTGAAGGGAACATGTCATCCAAGAATATGATTTACAAAATACTCGTACTAATTTTGGGGTGGTAGATACATTTTACATGTACCCAAAACCTTTATTATGATTTTGTTCAACATTTGCCCATATGTTATGAAATTATGTTTTGTTGAATGACTTACTAATAGTTTTGAAGCATGTGTATGGTGGAGTATTTAAGTATTTCTATTACTTTGTTGAAAAAAAAATATTTCTATTACTAAATTATGTTGTCAAAGTGATGTTGTATTATTTGGGTTTTCAAATTGAACAAAAATGAATTTTATAACAAAGATATAACCAATCTCTCTATATGATCCAAATCTGCAATCGTAGAGTATTTACTACGGATTCCTCGTGTGACCAAAGGTTAAACACAACACTATACATAATATTAGTTACCACAGATCATGTACCGTTGCTATTAGTATAACCGACAGTTAAAAACTGTGGTAAAGGTTTTTACCACGGCTGTTATGCCCACGCACACAAAACTGTCGTAGAACTGTCGTAAATACTATTTACCACAGTTTATATATCCTTTTATGACAGTTTATAACTGTCACAAAAACCTATATTTCTTGTAGTGTACCCACTACTCCAACCCTACCCCACCCTTACCCCTAACCCACCCACTACCCCCACCCAACCCCCTACCCTTAGACCTTACCACCCCACCCCGACGATACCCCTTATCCCACCCACTACCCCGACACCTATGAGTATGTATGAGTGGGTACGAAGGGTTGTGGGGAAGTATGGGTAGAGTGTAAGATCGTGGTAAGGCTGGGGGTAAGGGTCAAGAGTGTGGAATTGGAGAATTGAGTGAAAAAATTGGTGAACATGTTTTCAGATTTGAAAATGAAAAACTAAAATTAGAAACAGAAAATTGAAGATAGGAAAACTGAAAAATAAAAACAAAAAATTGGAGAACAAAAAACAGATATAGAAAACCGGAAAATATCTCTGTTAGTAAACGCACCCTAAGGATGTTTTTACTTGGACTGTAATTTGCTGGTCTGGTCTGGTCTGATCTGGTCTGAACTGGTCTGGTCTGGTCTGGTCTGGTCTGGTAAGGTCTGGTTTCTTTGTATTTTTATAACTATCCAAGTCTGGTCTGGTCTGATCTGGTCTGAACTGGTCTGGTCTGGTCTGGACTGGTCTGATCTGATCTGGGACAAATTACAGTCCAAGTAAAAACATCCTAAATGTTTCAAATAAATTTACATTTCATTTTAAATGTATACGGAGTACAATTTTTGTGGGTCTCACGAGTTTTTTTGTTAAATGATTTGGTGCTAGATGCCTAGACGTACGGTTGTGCTAAGGTGGTTACAATCTGGGAGTATGTTACCTGGTAGAATCTAACTTGAGGTACACATTTTCATAGACACACCTACACACTTAGATTTGTGAAGAGTATTTTTTTGTCTATATATAGACATAATGAATTCTCAAATACGTTATGTATGTATACAGACAAAAGGATACTCTTCACAAACATGAGTGTGTAAGTGTGTATGAAAAATGTGTACAAATAGATTGTTTTGTACCCCGTAATACTTTTCCACTTTGTCTGAGCCATTTTTTGAACAAACAAATACCTGAATCTCACTAATAAAAAGGTATCCTGCAACGACTTATTTGTCTCTTCAAAAGCTTCCTCAGATCAATAATGGCTTCAGCTACCTCACCCAAACTGGTCCACGATTTCTTCCCCTTTTTCCGCGTCTACGAGGACGGCCGCGTCGAAAGAGGATTCAACCTCGTCTCCAAACCTCCATCCGACAACCCAGACACCGGCGTTAGATCCAGAGACGTCGTCATCGTACCGGAGCTCAATGTCTGGGCTCGCCTTTACCTCCCCAAAATCACCGACGAGGACCGGAAATTCCCCGTCCTCGTCTACATCCACGGCGGCGCGTTCGCGATCGAGTCCGCCTCCTCCTCCACCTACGACAACTATCTCCACGCGTTGACGGCGAAAGCTAATGTCCTCACCGTTTCAATCGATTACAGATTGGCTCCAGAGCATAAGCTCCCCGCCTGCTACGACGATTCCTGGGCGGTTATTCAGTGGGTCGCGTCACACGCTCAGGAAACCGGACCCGGATCCGATCCGTGGCTGAAAAGTCACGCGGATCTCACCCGGGTTTTCCTGGCGGGCGACAGCGCAGGGGCCAATATTGCTCACAACATGATGGTGAAAGCGGATGGGAGTGTGTTGAAGCCGGTGGGAATGATCCTGGCCCACCCGTATTTTGGAAACGGGACGCTTGACAAGCTGTGGGAGTGCGTTAACCCGGAATCGAAGGGTCCGGAGGACCCGATGCATAACCCGGGGGCTTCTCCGGAAATTCTTTCCGGGCTGGTGTGCTCGAAAATCATGGTGGTTACTTCAGAGAAGGATTTCATCAGAGAAGGGGGGTTGAAATACTACGAGGCGCTGAAGAAGAGCAGGTGGGGAGGCAAACTGGAGCTCGTGGATGTGGAAGGGGAAACACACGTCTTCCATGTGTTGAACCCGACTTGTGAGAAAGCGGGTTTAGTGATGGACCCGGCCGTTTCATTCCTCAATAGCATTTGAATGGATTCTAATGCTCTGTAATAAATGGATTGTGAGTAGTAATCTTCAAGCTTTGTTGCTTTTCCCTTTGCTCTGCTGTTCTTGGTTTCTTGAGAATTTGGAATTTTTTATCCTGTATTACATATAAAGATGTATAAAAAATGTACTCCGTATAATGTAATTTTGTGGCAATGGTTTGTGTAAGAGGTGGAAATTGGAAATAGTGAGTACCGTTTGACCTTTGGTTGAGAGGGCGGCAGGAAGGGCGGCAAATAGGGATGGACTCGGTTCGGGCTGGGCCCGGTTCGGGCCTTGAACCGGCCGGGCCTCGGTTCAAGGTTTGGGAGGCCTGGAACCGGCCCGGGTAACCCCGGGTCCGGTTCGGGCCGGGCCACCCGCCCGGTTCATGGTCCGGGCCCGATTCGGGCCGGTCCTTTTAATTTTTTTTAAATTATATATTATATTATTATAATAATTGTTATTAAAAACAAAATTCAAGTGCATTTATTTGAAATAGGAAGTACATTTGAGAATTGAGGAAAAAATAACAATATGAAATACATTTTCGAATAAATATCAATTGGGATTTCCGTCACTGTTGGTTGTTGTTTTATCTTTGTCACATGACTTCATATGTTTTATTGGCATCCCGACTCCGTGTGAACGTCCCAAGCAACACTCTTTCTTGCACCTCTTGCAAGTTGGCCACCACAGTCCGGTCTTCGGGTCCTTCCATTTATCAAAGTTGTTTTGCATAACAGAAGAATTACTTTCCATCTTTAAAATGGTAGATGTATAAGTAGAAATGTAGAATAATAAGAGAAGATGAAGATGGAGAAGAGGTGTAGAAAATGGTAGAAAATAGATGTATTTATAGATTTTTTTAAACCTCACCCCCACCCCACCACCTCCGGGACCCCCCTGCCCCCCACCCTAAGCGGCTAGGCCCCAACGGCTATATAGCCGTTTGGGAGCAATCTCCCACTTCAAAATGTTTTAATTTTTTTTTTTTTGAAAATTATACATATTGTGTATAATTTACTTAGAAAAGTGATTTGATTTAGAAAAGTGTAAGGAAAATGATATGATTTAGAAAATTATACATATTGTGTAAGGAAAATGTTTTTAATTTTTTAATTAAGTAAAACTTTTTTTACTTAGAAAAGTGATTTGATTTATAATTTACAAATGTTACAAAATAGGTGTATAAGTTGTAACTTGTAAGTTTGTAACAAATTAATTAATTTACATATTAATATTACATATTTTAAATTAAAAAAAGCCTTTACATTTTACAAAAAAAAAATTCAAGTTGTAAGTTATAAGTTTGTAACCAATTAATTAATTTGAGAAGTGCTACATATGAAGTACAAGTTTGCAAATTAATTTTATTGAATTGAATTATTGAATTGATGTACACAATAATATAAAATAATTCAAGTATTTTTATTTCAAATAAGAAGTACAATTGAGAATTAGGATGCATTTAAAAAATGTAATACATTTTGAAATAAAAAATCAATCGGAATCTCCGCCTTCGGTGGTTGTTTCCTCCATAAAGTGGCGGGAGCGATGGTCATTTCTTGAGTTCTTCGTTTGGCCGGCCTTCAACCAATCATGGAAGCAAACTAGCGTCTCAAGAGAGCTCGGGCTCAACCTCGTTCTATAATCGGTTAGGACGTTGCCGGCCGCACTAAATTCTTGTTCCACGGCAACTGTTGATATCGGCATTGCTAGCACTTGCTTAGCCATCTTTGATAAAACCGGGAACGTTCTTTCATTGTCCTTCCACCACTTAAGAACGTCAAAATCATCCCCAACTTCATAATCAACATTCAATGTTAGATACAAAGAAAGCTCGTTAACTGTGCTTTGTTCAGTAGCGGGAGTTGCTCTACTTTTTTTCATAAGAGAACCAAATGCAGATTTTAAAAGTGATTTTCCTTTAGATGAAGAAGATGTTCGCGGCATGGGAGGGGGTGCATTACCATATTGTGCATGAAATTCATTATACAATTGATGAAATAAATTACTAACCTCGTTGTATTCTTGTTTAGGATCGATGGGGTTATCATCGAACTCTTGAGTTGGAAAAAAACAATTATAATAGTAATCTATACAAGTTGGCAACGAGACAAGTTTATAACGAGGATCAAGAACAAATGCAATACCATATATATGCGGAACATGTGAATAATATTTTAAAAACTTTTGTTTCATGAAATCACAAAATTAATTAACGTAAGCGGCATCAGAAAATTCTAAAAAAGCGCCGGCAAGATTAACAGTTTCAACAAAAAATTCGTTTGCGGTAGGTTTATAAACATGACTAAAAGTTTGAGTTGCGTTATTAAAATATACCAAAACATTAACAATTTTTTCACAAATGTCGATGTCAGCCGGTTTTATAATATAGTTACAAGTTTGTCTTAAAAAAGCAGGAAAATGTTCTTTATATCTAATAAGTACTTGAATTAAGTTATAAGTACTATTCCAACGAATAGACAAATCTTTAGGAAAAGCACAATAATTGACACGTCTTTCCTTCAAATATTGCCGCCATTGCATTTTTAGTGGAGTGTTAGCCCAAATCAATTTAATTCCCCCTTCACTCACTACCTCCAAAGCATTTCCTAATGCCGCTAATCCATCTTGTACACACAAATTTAGAATATGACATGCACAACGTTGATGAAAAAACCTACCCATCAATGTAGAAGCACCACACAGTTCACGCAATCTAGGTATAGCAGCAGTATTATTACTAGCATTATCAAAACCTACAGCAAACACCTTATCAAGCAAATTAACTCAATTAAAATACGCTCAATGAGAATATAAATATTATCAGCAGTATGACGATCATTGAATTCACGAAAAGCAAGAACACGTTTATGCATATTCCAGTCATCATCAATATAATGTGCAGTAAGACCCAAATAATATAAATGATGATAAGTATCCTCCCATATATCGCTACAAATACTAACACGTCCATTAAAGTTTGCGAAAAATGTTTGTAAATTTTCTTTTTCGAAGTTATATTGCCTTATAACTTCTTTTTTAATCGTTTTGCGACTATAATTTCTAAATTGAGGATTTAAAGTACCTTGAGCATAATCTCTTAAAGCAAGACTTTCGGAAAAAATATAGGGTAAATTTTCTTCAACAATTAAATGAGACATACCAGTCAAATGTTTTTGATCATCATAGGAGAAATTACCAAAGGGTTGAGAATTTGCAAACCTCGATATTTGTGTTTGCTTCCCCTTGCCCTTGTCTATTTTCGCATACTCCACAAGATGGGCGGACTTAAGATGCCTTGTGAGACTCCCGTATCCGCCAGAAGTTCCCAAGCTATACTCTTTGCCGCAATGATTGCAACTTGCGTACCATTTTTCGGTATTTTTGTCTTTCCTTTTTGTAAAATTGTTTTCAATAATAGGAGATTTAGATTTCTTACCAGTTTGGGTTGAACCGCCCTCGTCCTCCAAGTCTTGCTCATCATCCGGGATGCCGTGAGTCCCGTCGCCGTCGCCCCCCGCGTCCTCCTCCGCATCGTCATCCTCGAGCTCCGATCCTCTTCATCAATGGTTGTCGGGATGTGTTGTTGTTGTGCAAAGCGTGGATCGTTTTGGGACAATAGGTTTTGTAGATGCTCGTCGGACATCATCATATCATCTCTCCGTTGGTAATCCGTTTCAAAGTCATCTCGACTTTGAAAAGAAGACTCGGCCCGCGCTTTACCTTTGCCTTTGCGTGAAGTAGGACGAGTCGACGCAATCTCCCTCTTGCGGTTGCGTTGGAGATTACCCACATCTACAGAATGTCTACCACGCTCCATCTTTAAAATTGAACAAATATTAAATGATATCAAATATTTTATATGAGTACAATAGTAATAATTAAATGTGACTAAAAAAACTATAGCAAATTCGAACTAAAATATGAGTATAAAAATCGAACTACTTCTAATTAATACTTTAATGAGAAATATAGCAACTAACTAATATGAGAAATGTAAAAATGAACTAGTTTTTTTTTTTACTTTAATGAGCAATATAGCAATTAACTAATATTAATATACCAAATTTAACAATTAACTACTTTAGCTAGTTTATAAAATGACAAATGTAAAAATTTACTAGTTCTTTTTACCTTAATGAGAAATGTATACTTTAACTAATATCACCTTATGACAAATGTAAAAATTTACTACCTTTTTTACTTTAATGAGAAATGTAGCAAGTAACTAATATTAATATGAGAAATGTAACAATTAAGTAGTTTAAGTAATATTATTATGACAAATGTAAAAATTAACTAGTTTTTTTTACTTTAATGAGCAATGTATCAATTAACTAATATTAATATGACAAATGAAACAATTAAGTACTTTAACTAATATTAATATGACAAATGTAAAAATATACTACTTTAACTATTTTTTTTTTCTTTAAAGAGAAATGTAGAGAAATGTAGCAATTAACTAATTTAATAGATCAATGAGAAGTCTAACAATTAACTACTCTTATAAAATGTATGAATGTGTATAAGTATATATAGTATATATAATGTGTAATTATATTATAAGTAATATATAATATAATGTTTATAGTATATAATATATAAGTATATTACTATAAGATGAATAATACACTTATACTTAATACTTTAATATATATATATATATATATATATATAAGTATATATTAACTAAATGTAATATGTAAATATAAGTAAATAACAATAGTATGGATACAAACTAAATATCAAATAAATATGAATGTGTATAAGTATATATAGTATATATAATGTGTAAATATGTTATAAGTAATATATAATATAATGTTTATAGTATATAAGTATATTACTATAAGATGTATATAAGTATATTACTATAAGATGAGTAATACACTTATACTTAATACTTTAATATATATATATATATATATATATATATAAGTATATATTAACTAAATGTAATATATAAATATAAGTAAATAACAATAGTATGGATTATAACTAAATATCAAGTAAATATGAATGTGTATAGTATATATAGTATATATAATGTGTAAAGAATTATAATATGAATGTGTATAAGTATATATTTATAAGTAGATAATTAATATATAAGTAGATATAATAATTATATAAATTATATATGTGTAGAAAGAATTTGGAGAAGATGAAGAATGAAGATGATTGAATATGAGAGATTGAGAGTAGAGAATTAGAGAGTAGGAAGAGTTGTAGAAGAAGATGTGTAAAAAATGTATAGAAAATAGGAGTATAAATAGATTTTTTTTGTATACCCCACCCCCATCCCACCTCCCTAACCCCCAGACCCCCCCTCCTATGCTCCCAACGGCTATAGAGCCGTTTGGGAGCTCTCCCAACGGCTAGAAGCCACTTTACAAATTAATTATTTTTTTTTAAATGACCGTTGGAGGCCCGAACCGGGCCCGGCCCGGCCCGGCCGGTTCACTAAAATGGAGGCCCGGGCCGGGTGGCCCGAACCGGGCACAAACTGGTTCACCGGGCCGGTCCGGGCCCGCACAATAGCGGGCCGGTCCGGTTCCGGGCCGGTTGGCCCGGAACGAGTCCATCCCTAGCGGCAAAGGGTCAGATGCTGGAAAAAGTCGTCGAAAAATTTTCCGGTGGCACAATGACACATTTCAGGGCGACAGTTACATCCTAAAGTGACATGAATATCAGTAGTGACATTCAAAAGTGACTTAAAATATGGTAATGACATATGACAATGACATAATTACTGGATAGTGAAACGGGCAATGGCCGCAGTGACACGGGCGATGACTACCGTGAGGGCGTGAGACGGGCGGTTGTTACAGTGACACGGGTGGCGGTGGCGGTGACACGTGCGGCGGCAACAGTGACATTTGATAGTGACATTAAAACAGGATAGTGACGTTAAAATCTGGGAATGACATTAATACTCCCTCCGTCCCATAATTATCTTCATTCTTTTCTTTTTGGTCCGTCCCAAATTTATCTCCTCTTTCCCTTTTTAACAAAGGATTTGTGGTTCACAATCATTCTTACACATTTCTCTCTCCTCTGCACAACTCTCCACCACACATTTCCCACTTTCTTAATCTCCGTGCCCAGTCAAAACCGAAGTTAATTCTGGGACGGAGGGAGTATAACATTTCTGATTACTTTTTTGCCCCTTTTAAAAGTGGTCATTTTTTTGGTAATTGGTTCAAAATTAGTAATATTCAAATAAAAATCCCTAATTGTATTGTCCAATGAGAATTATAGAAAAGCAAAACTACATAAAAACTATAAAGATGATACATTAAAAACATATACCCAGAAGTACTAATAATGGTTAGTAAACAACTTTTCAAACACTTCTTTTTACAAAAGATCAAGTGTCATAAATATGCTACATGTTCTTCATTGCATAGAGATTAAATGGTAAACATGTAAATATTCAGCAATCCCTCAACGCCACTCCAACCTGGTCACTTGAAATCTATCAGGTCAAAGCTCTTGTTCATCCAATACAACTACAAACCCTTCATTCAATCTTTTTGTCATGATGTGTGTGCCATTGAAACTTGAAAGCATCAGCTTTGTCTGATCCTTCAGTTCCACAAGTCTATGGTCCATTGATCTTCGCAAAATTGAGTATGAGCATATATTGTGCTCAAAATCTGTCCATCTTTAAACACCAAGTACAAAAATAATTGCACTTACAATCTGTATATTTTAAAGTTGCCATAATGTAACTATTTTCTACTCGTGATTAGCCTGTTGTGGTATTTGGTTATTTAAATGGTTAATTCGAAATTGATGATAGGAGAAATTGTTTATGACTCGTAATATTATTCATCCATGACACACTTCTATGTTGGTGATACATGTTTGCGAAAAAATTACATTGTGTGTTCTAATTAGATATTTACACAATCATTCACTAATAGCTACCCTATATTTTATTTGTTTAATTAGAGTGACCAAACATCAGAAATTTTGGTTCAATATCGCAACGAAACAAATAAGAAACACAACAATGATTATTTAAAACACATATACCAAGCAAAAACATTGAAATATCTAATCATATACCAAACGGAAACATTGAAATTAGATAATCATATACCAAATGAAAACAACATATACCCGCCCTTGAATTTTTGTTCTCTGCTTTCTGTTTGACGTTCTAGGGCTAATCGCTTTTTGAAGTTCCATCGTTCAAATACTTGCATAGTCTTGTTCACGCCTTTTAGTATAATAATGTATATAACCTCTAAACTGGCATATACCAAATGTGTTTCCACAACAATAATTAAAAATTAAAATATGAACAATTTAACAAACAAGACATTAATAATAAAAAATCATCAAATTGATAGGTCTCTATCTAAACAGAGTAAATAAAAAACATTTGACAATCCTCACATGAATCGAATCAATCTTCAAAAGTTTATCGAACCAAATAAAAAACAGTGAGTACCTATTTTCGAGTAGACTATATTGCCACAGAAATAAATTGGGTCAAATACACCATAAAGGTTAGGTAAGTTTGAGTTTAAATCAGAGTCACAAGACTTCATATCATCATTAAATTGGTGTGCTATTCTGGTGGCAGCAATACTGTTTGAATCTAAATCAATTTCACAGCTCACAACACAGTTTTGAAGTTTAAAGAAAAGTTGAAGTAGAGCATTGTTGTTTTTAAAAGAACAAATTTTGCCGTACCTTTGAAAATTCTCGGTGAGGAAGAAGAAGCTTGATGGCTTCCATACGGAATGTGAACACAGGAAAGGAGCGTTTGGATATCGTAGTAACTCTGGATTTCCAAATTTGCAATATGAACACAGGATACAAGTATAAACCAAGTAGAAAACAATCTTTATGGATAGATTAGTCATGCACCAGTACATCTCATTTTCTAGGTAGAAGGTATACCTGGCATGTTGAAGACCACACATCAGAAACAAAAGGATAGCACCATTGGACCAATATCACCATTATTGCTCCACCCGTCAACCTAGATAGATTGATATCAACATCATACACCATAAACAGTACTATTAATTATGGATGAGTGTTTACACCGTGTTTTTTTTGGCAAAAATTTGACCGTTTTTCCACTTTGTGTCTGTATATAGATAGATAGATAGATAATGAAATACTCAGTAATCAATAATGAATAATGAATGAATGATACCTCCCATTCAAACCAACAAAACCTTTACCTCTTCCACTCAGCCATGGCTTCTCCTAGCTCAACCAAAGTGGTTCACGATTTCTTCCCCCTTTTCCGCGTCTACGAGGATGGCCGCGTCGAAAGAGCACTCGAACAAGTCTTCACGCCTCCATCTGACAACCCAGCAACCGGCGTTAGATCCAGAGACGTCGTAATCGTACCGGAACACAACGTAAGGGCTCGCCTTTACCTCCCCAAAATCACCGGCGAGGACCAAAAACTACCCGTTCTCGTCTACATCCACGGCGGCGCGTTCGTGCTCAACTCCGCCTCCTCCTCCATGTACGACAGCTATCTCCACGCATTGACGGCCAAAGCCAAGGTCCTCACCGTTTCAGTCGATTACAGGTTAGCTCCGGAGCATAAGCTCCCCGCCTGCTACGACGATTCCTGGGCGGTTTTTCAGTGGGTCGCGTCACACGCTCAGGGAAGTGGACCCGGATCCGATCCGTGGCTTAAAAGTCACGCGGATCTTACCCGGGTTTTCCTGGCGGGCGATAGCGCAGGGGGCAATATTGCTCACAACATGATGGTCAGAGCAGGTGGGAGTGGGTTGAAGCCGGCGGGAATGGTTCTGGAGCACCCGTATTTTGGAACCGGGAAACCCAGCAAGCTGTGGTGCTTGGACTGGGAGAAGGTGTGGGAGTACATTTACCCGGAATCAACGGGTATGGATGACCCGCTGCATAACCCGGCGGCTTCTCCGGAAATTCTTTCCGGGCTGGTGTGCTCGAAAATCGTGGTGATTATTTCGGAGAAGGATATCGTCAGAGAAGGGGGGTTGAAATATTACGAGGCGCTGAAGAAGAGCGGGTGGGGAGGCAAATTGGAGCTCGTGGACGTGGAAGGCGAGGAACACGTTTTCCATTTACTGAATCCGACTTGTGAGAAAGCGGGTTCACTGATGGACCGGGCCGTTTCATTCTTCAATAGCCTTTGAATCCCCTTCTAATGCTCTGTGAATTACGATTAGTAATCTTTAAGCTTTCCCATTAAGTGTGCCGTTCCTGCTTTCTTGGGATTTTGGGATTTTCATGGTGTATAAAAAATTTATAATGTACTTATGTGCCAAATAGTTTGTGTAAGAGTTGGGAAATGGAAATAATGAGACCGTTGAAACTTTGAAGTTGACTAGTTGACGACTGAGGAGTAAGTTTAATACCTATAGTCTCCTTTTTTTGTTTTGATTCATATTGATTCTTACTAAATTTGATAATGTTTATGTGATTGTATATCATTTTAATTTTAACTTCTCTTTATCAATTTATATTTATCACATGAACACGCTTCTTTTGGTAACCATGTTACTTCCTCTTATATCAATGTTTTTTTATGGACCTCTTATATCAATGTAGGAAGACAAAGATAGTATATATTTCTATACAAAAGAAATATTAAAAAAATATGCAGAGTAAGTTTTTTATTGAACTTTGAAGGTTTGGGACGTATAATTATTATGGTAGTCATTTGTTGAAGTTATCCAAAGTATTCACGACTAGCCAAGAATTAAACGTTTGTTCTTAGATGTTTTATGAAGAAATAGATGTATGAATGAATATAAATTAAGTGATTGAAATAATATGATGGTCTCAGATGTTTTAAGAAGAAATAGAAGTATGAGTGTATAGAAATGAAGTGATGAAGCAATATGAGTTCTCTTAAAGAAGAAGGTTGGCATTATCAATGCCGATCTAAGGTGGCATTATCCACACAAGTGTGTTTACAATTTTCGGCTCTCAGGCGCCCTCGGCATAAGGGTAGCTTTCGGTTACACAGAGTCCTCGGCCATATGGGAGTCTTCGGCTACAGCAAATCTATCGAAGATTCTCTTTGGAGACAGACAACCACCGCATTTAATGCGGCGTCACATCCACCCACCACATTTAATGTGGTGCACATGCGAGTGCCGGTGCCACCCCGATTGAGGTGACCCCTCGGCCGTTAGATTATTGACACGTGTACTCTCATCGCATTTATGGCTGCTATGAATAACAACCCTTATTCTCCTTGTAAAACACATTGAGTTCATTTAATACATTTGACTCTCTCTCCTACTTGTTTGCTCTGACTTCTCTCTAGGTTATTCCTCGAATAACCTCTCGGGTAAGCTACCCCCGGATACATTGTCAATCATCTTTCTAACCTATTATAGTATCTGTTCTAATGAGACTGATTTAATACCCTAGTTGGTATTAGAGTTGATTTTGTTTATAATCCTACTTGTGTTCTTATAAAACCGCAATCTATGAAATATTCTCCAAAATTCCTATAAATATAAATAGTGATTTCATAGTCAAATTTCACAAACCCTAGGGGTAGAAAATTTGATATAAAGACATAGAATTGGGATCATTGTACATAGCCGTGCGATCTAGAATTTGTATCGTGTCAGAGATGGTAGTGGACAATTCTACCTTTTGGTTGAAAGTCCCATTTTTCAGACTTTCTCATATGAAAAACTATTTGTACACACTACATAGTGGAGGACCTAGGGGGGTCCTAGGGGGGAAATGCCCCCGCTTCCGATCCCGAATTTTAGTATTAGTACTTAGGATAAAAATAGTGTCCACCTATCTGGATAAAAAATACTCTGTATTACTATTAAATGAGGTAATAATCCCTTAGCTTCAAAGAGTATGGAAATCATTATAAGACATTTAAACGACTGTGGAATTATGATGAAATGATTGCTTATGGTTAGACACGATCGTAATTGTAAAAGTCAAATCTTAATAGTTTATAATATGAAAATTAAAAACATTGCAAGGATAATTAAGTTGTAGTTCATGTCATGTCTTTCTTTTAAAATATTGAATACGGAGTATTATTGTTCAGAATGGTTGTAATAGGTTGAAGCTAGACATATAAATCACAGGCGTACATTCCTTGGAACCGACATTGAACAAACTATTTTTCTTTTAAAAAATTGTCTGCACGAGATAGAATAGACCATTCTCACAGGGTTATTTTTACATACCTCCCTTGAGGTTTAACCATTTGACACTGTGATACAAAGTATCAATATATTATTAATAACCCCCTTCTTCCCTAGAATACTCCCCCTAAAATAGTTCGTATATCTTTGGTGGTGGCATGGGTAAACTAAATGAAACAAAAGCCTGAGAGGATAAACAAAGACACCCAGATGAAGAAATAAGAGAGTGATGAGAGTTTTGGATTTTTGGAAGAGATTTGAAGAGGTCAATCTGTAACTTGTTGAGAGGCACAACATAGCGAAAAACGACTAACACTTAAAATGCAAGGTTTCTGTTTAAATCCCATAAATGCAGAGTTTTGAAGACCAAAAAATAACCTACATTAGTCACATCAGTTTCAAATGCAATGTTTATGTTAGAATCCGAAATACTACGCAACCTTGGGAACAAATAGAATCAGTATATCACCCTGAATATACATAACATCAACAACTAACCCACTAGATGACTAAGGTAAGCAAAAATTGACATAATCAAGAAAATATAACATTAATCATTCACATAGAACATTGTTTAGGATGATATATTCTATTAACACCCATTTACAAAAAGAGACATAACACTTTGACATCTAAAGTGCATAAAGCCATAAATGACCAGTTTTAGCAAAAAATAATCCAGCAAAATACAGCAAAACGCTCAAACTACAAGTTAGTTTAAGTAGAAGATGCCACAACATCATTTTCACTGAAATGCATCAAAGTTGTTGCAACATCTTATCCCCATGCCAACAAAACTACTAATACGGGTTAAATATATTTAACTAGCCTGCTGAATATATGCTTCATCTCTAGTCAGCCGTATCAATCTGGATTTGATTGCCCTGTAAATTATTGTGAAATATTGCAAGCTTTAAATGACTATAAACTAGGGCCGTTAATGAACCGAGCTTTTATCGAACTATTCGAGCTCGAGCTCGGTTTCGAACCTAACGAGCCGAGCTTAACGAGCTTTCGAACTCGAACCCGAGCTGAGTTTTAAGTTCGAAAAATTAATCGAGCCGAGCTCGAACATAGTAGTATTCGGCTCGGTTCGAACTCGAGCCTATCGAACACCCAAAAATTATAAATATAATTTATATATAATCAAAATTTAAATATAATTAGTATGAATTTATGAACTAAATATGTTTATTAACGAACCGAATACTTGTCGAATCATTCGAGCACGAGCCTATTAACGAGCATCACCTAAAATTTTAAATTCGACCATATTTATCGAGCTTATCGAGCGCTCGATTCGAACATCGAACGCCTATCGAGCCGAACACGAACCTCATTTGTAAAGCTCGTCGAGCTTCGAGCTCGAACCCGAACACCATTAATTCCTTATCGAGCCGAACTCGAGCTTTAGGTGTTCGGGCTCGGCTCGGCTCGTTAACAGCCCTACTATAAACACTTTAACTTAATAAAATATTCAATGATAATACAACTTACCAATATCATGGGTTGTTGCCTGAGACTCAGATGTCCTTGGTCCCTTGGATGAGGTGGATACCTATAAAGAAAAAAAGTGACTCTCATTCCACATTAACTTTCAAATGTGATGGTTAAAACTTAAAATTATTTACATATGTATTTCTTTACCGTCGTGCATGTTCTTTTGGTGTGTCCCCATTGATCACATTTTGAGCACCTAACGCTTGCACTTCGTTTGAATGAATAGCATTCACCGTCTTCCTTCCTTCTCTTGAGTTGAGGTCTGTCAACTGCCCTAATCATGGCAGGTGGTTGCAAGTTGTCTTCAAGAACCAGGGGCCATTTCTTCTCATCAGGGACATGATTGAGCTGGTGCTTGTAAGTTGCCAAGAAAGATTCCTTCTTCAGTAGCCGGTGCACATAGTCTTCAACACGATACCTCTTAGCATCAATACAACATATTGCATGTTTGCACGAAAGGCCAGATATTTCCCATTCCATGCAGCCACACTTCTTCTCCTGTAAATCCACCACATTTATCTTGGAAATATCCTTCATTACCTCAAATGTATTTTTTTGGTCAAATATCACAGACAATGACCTAGCATTAGCTCTATTCTCAATAATCTCCCTTCTTACAATCGGCGGTAGCTCACCTTTCCACTCTTGGGCAGCCATATTTCTCTTGTGGATTAACCTCATTATCTTTCGTCTGATCTCTTCAAACATACGAACAATGGGCATACCTCTGTAATTCCCAATCCAATTGTTAAAAGATTCTGTCATGTTATTAGTAACATGATTGCACTTTGTGTGTTTTGAGAACATATGTTTTGCCCAACAAACTGTGGGTATGTTCATTAACCACTCATGACCTTGAGGAGACACTGACTTTAGTTCTTCCATGCTGGAATTAAATCCAGTCACATCAGAACTCCTACAAGCCCTCCAAAATGTTTTCTTCAAAAGCTCACCAGGAAACTTCTTCTTAAAGTTTGCATAGATGTGTCTGCAACAATATCTTTTAAGAGCATTAGGGAATATTGTAGATAAGGCATTTAAAATACCCTTTTGCCTATCGCTCATAAAGCAAATTCCTTCACCGTCGTTACAGCCCACTTGGTCATACAAATTATCTAAAAAGAACTTCCACGAATCTTTATTTTAATTGTCGACTACAACTATTGCCAAAGGGTAGATTCCATAATTCGCATCAATGCTAACTGCTGAAAGTAAGACTCCTTTATAAGGGCCCTTTAGGTGGCACCCATCAAGTCCAATGAACTGCCTGCACCCTTCAATGAAACCTCTTCTATTCCCATCCAAGCACACAAAAAAACGCTTGAAATTAGGGTATTCAGCACCTCCTAGTCAATCTGTCTGAAGTGAAACTGTAGTTCCAGGATTTGTCTTGCTCAAAGCCTCACAATACCTGTGTAGTTTGGTATAGCTTGTTTTGTGATCTAGGCCAAGAAGTTGCATGGCTTTCTTTTTTGCTCTGTACAAGCGTTGATTGTTGCACTCCACACCATACGTCTTCAGTAATTCTGCACCAATGACAGTGATGTTAATGTCATGGTTTGCCTTGAATAGATGTAGATAATTTGCTGCTATCCAGATGGAGTTTGCTTCATAGTTATCATCAATTCGTGCGCATGTGTGTTCAAAGCAGTAGGTCTTTACTTGAAAAGTTCTCTTGTTCCAATTCGGACTTGCATTAATTCTCCATGTGCAACCATCAGCAGCACACTTGGCAGTGACTCTTGACTTCTCATTCTTTAGTCTTTTCAATCTAAACCCATTTCTAATAGCAAATATCTGTAACACTTTTCTGAATTCATTCACGTTTACGAACAATTGCCCAGGCTTCAATATTATATTATCACGTGTAGCATTAAACTCAAATCCACCAGAACCTGTCTCATAGCGATTACATGCCACTTCTTTGGTATTGTCATCGGATTCATAATCACTATCATCTCCGGACTGGTAATCATCAAGATGGCTCCCATCGTCTTCTCCATCTAAGTATTGATCATCAAACTCTGAGCTGGATGGATTGTACTCATAGCCATCATCATTCACAAACTCTGGTTCATCCTCTGAACTACCAGCAAAAACATGAGGTTGCACATCCTCATTTAGCATGAGTTCAACTTCAGTAGATGGATCTATATCAACCTCATTATCTAGTGTGTCTTCGAGATTGAGATCAGATTTGTCCTCGTTATGTGTAGTAACTACTGGTGTTTGAATTAGGGACTCTTCATCAACTACTGAAACCACAATTCGGCAGAGGAATACATTTTCTCTCTAAGTTGCTTAAATGTATTAAATAGATCCTCATCACTCAGTATTGTCTTTGCTTCATTCTCCCACAGAATTATAGCATCAACCTGTAACTTCTTTACTTCGTAAATACCATAAACTCTACAAGCATTCTTTAGGTCAATCCAGAGGTCATGCAAGCTATACTTCTCGGGGATAGCTAACCCAAGCTGAAATATTTCCCCTCCAACTATGACCTCAATGTCAAAGTAATATAAGCTGCACAAGAATGATAAAGATCATTTAAAGGTGACAAATAAAAGGTAAATGAGTAGTACAACTAAAAACACTAGTTTGGAAAAACTAAATATAATGTGGAACAAGGGTTGAGTCTATTAATGTGTCTTAGAACTCTGCACTCTTCATATTGAGATTAAAAAAAGTTGCTCTGAATTCTTCTCACCTGCTTTCAACTCATATACATCCACATTTAAGTGATATTCAAGAAACAATTTTGACTAAGATGATTTTAAGAAGCACTATAAAAATATAAAAGACTACATGGAAAAGGGTTTAGTCTATTAAACATGTTTCAGTGACAAAAATAAAGAAACACTAGCTTAGATTAATCTATTTTTTTGAAGAATTATAGAAGTTTTCGTTTAGCAAAGAAAAGTCTTGACATTTGGAGTATTGTGTATACTCATAATCTGAAGCATCATTCTCTAAATAAAAATGTGCAGCAATGAGAATCGTAAAATGCCTAAGTTGCTGGCTAAACTTCCAGTCAGATAACCGAGGGCCACGAGCCACTCAGGTTGAGTTTAGGCTTTCAACACACACTGGCCTAAAGGCTCTCAGAAAGACAACCAAACATACAAAAAAGGGCGTCTTCTGAAAAAAGTTATAATTTTCAGAAGTAAAATTAATTAAATAGATACCTGGGTTGGACGTCCATCTCCAGAAGTCGCTGAAACTCCCCTCCCAACATATTACATAAATAGCAACTGTGGAGAAAGAGCACTTTGTGTGAATTGTTGTATGCGAAAGCCCAAGAGAAACAACTCGAACAAGAGTTCAGGGAGAAAACGAGATGGGAATACAGAGTTTTTCTTTTCTTGAAATTTTTATCTCTATTCCCATCAGTTATATCTCTGGAAGATTTGATTTAGTGTGATGTGTCAGGCTTTTGTTTCATTTAGTTTACCCATGCCACCACCAAAGATATACAAACTATTTTAGGGGGAGTATTCTAGGGAAGATGGGTTATTAATAATATATTGATACTTTGTATCAAAGTGTCAAATGGTTAAACCTCAAGGGAGGTATGTAAAAATAAACCCATTCTCACACTTGACGTGACCCGACCCATTTCTATCCATTTTGCAGTGCCCCTCCTTAACAAAAGCTCTAGACCCGCCACTGTTTGCACACACTTTTTATACAGATCATTTTACACACATTTATGAACAACTACTTTTTTATCTGTAATTTGAATGATTGATAAAATACTGTCTCCGTTCTTAAATAAGTGCAACATGCTAAATTTTACACTATTCACATGTTCTACTTTGACTACATTTTATTTATTGAGGCATTAATATATATTTTTGAAAAATATATTACTAAATTGGTCTCATTGTAAATTTTCAAAATCTGATTTTTTAATTTTTTTTACTAATAAAAAGTTATATATATTAATGGTCAAAATTGCACCTCGGTAAATGTGAAATGTTGACTGTTGCACTTATTTAAGAATACTACATCATTTATATGTGAACATGCTATTTACATATAAAAAATAACTGCTCGTCGAAGAAGAATTTATGTTGCCATATACTCAAGCAAGGAGGACTGCTCAGGTCCAGCCGGAGGGACGGGAGCAGCCGTCTGAACTTTACTGTTTGGGGCGGTTCCCGGTGGAATTTTTCGATGAAATTTTTTGAGCATGTTCCTCATCATGTCTAATTTGTCCATACCAAATTTCAGCTCAAAATTTGACCGGGAAGACAGTCAAATAAATTCTTAAAACTTACTGCACTTCATATATTCACAGAATGTGCAGTAAGATTCAAGAATTTATTTGACTGCCTTCTCGGTCGAATTTTGAGCTGAAATTTGGTATGGACAAACTAGACTTGATGAGGAACATGTTCAAAAAATTTCATCGAAAAATTCCACCAGAAACTGCCCCAAACAGTGAATTTCGGACGGCTGCTCCCATCCCTCCGGCTGGACATTTCTGCTCAAGCAAGTACTAACATTGATGAATGAATCGGGGGTAAACCGGTAAACTGTAAACAGGTAATTGCCGTTGACATGAACATCCCTACGTAGTTGATCTTCAGGCCCAAGTCACCGTTAACGCCGTTAATATTAAAAGCCACACATAAACCCACCCCATCACAAGACTCTTCTATCTTCTTCATTTCCCTGCGACCCTTGCTTACTCAATCTATCATGGAGAAAGCAGTCCTGCTGCGCTCTACTACGCCACTCTTCTGCTCCAGAATCTTTGCTCGCTCTTACCATAAAATTGTACGATTTAGTTCACTCTCCCCCAAGCGCCACCGTCTTCTCCATAGCGTCCAGCGCTGTCGCCGCTCATCGCTCTTTGCAAGCCACTTCCGGCTGACCCCCACCTTCACCTCCCATTCTCAGCTCTTCAGAAGGCAATTTTCTTCTCTTTCCGTCCAAGCCACAACCACTTCCTCGCCGCATCTGTCTCCAGGTACTCTGTGTTTCTCAATTGACATTCGGTTCATAACCCCCCTCCCAGGTGTACTTAGGATTTGGTTTTGATGTGATGTTTAGAAGCTGTTGGGGCTGCTTCTGAAGATGCCGAGAAGCTGGGGTTCGAGGAAGTTTGTGAGCAGTTTATTGATGAGTGTAAGTCCAAAGCTGTTTTGTATAAGCACAAGAAGACAGGCGCAGAAATTATGTCTGTTTCCAATGATGATGAGAATAAAGTATTTGGCATTGTTTTCCGAACTCCTCCGTAAGTGTATCCTCTTACGGTCTTACCTGATCTAAAATTTAGCAATCTGTGCAATTAGTGAACCCTTTTACCAGTTGCTGTATTTTTTGCAATGGCCTCATTGCTAAATTAAGAATTCTTTCACCATAAAAATGCCAGTAAACATATTTTTTCAGTAAAAAGGTTCAACCCGAATTTTGCATAGTTTCTGGGTGTGACTGTGATTTTAGCTTCCAAATAAAGCAATCTGTCTCAGTGCTCATTCGTATGGATACTAGAAAATATTTAGGAATTTATTTGTTACTATTAGTAACTTAAAGTCTTAGACGTAGTGCGGGTGTGGCTATTCAGGAAAGATTCAACTGGAATTCCTCATATATTGGAACATAGTGTACTGTGCGGTTCAAGAAAGTATCCCTTAAAAGAGCCCTTTGTTGAACTATTGAAGGGAAGTTTACACACTTTTCTCAATGCATTCACCTATCCTGATAGGACTTGCTATCCTGTTGCTTCAACAAATACCAAGGTGTAGTGTTCTGTCAGATATTCTGGAATATAATAATTGAAATGGAATGCTTTCCCCGAAAATAATGTCTAATCAATACATACTGATCTCTTACCAGGATTTCTATAACTTGGTAGATGTGTACTTAGATGCTGTGTTTTTCCCCAAATGTGTGGAGGACTTCCAAACATTTCAACAAGAGGGTTGGCACTATGAGCTGAATGATCCTTCAGAAAACATAACTTATAAAGGTATTTCTCTCTCAGACACAGATACATTGCCAACTGTCTGCTTTTGATTTAATAATAAATTGTCCGTATTTCAATTTCAGGAGTTGTTTTCAATGAAATGAAAGGGGTTTATTCACAGCCTGATAGTCTAATGGGCAGGGCGTCCCAACAAGTATGAACTCCTATCTGGTTTCTTCTTGTTCACCAAAATTAATGTCTCAATATTGTGCTGAGTGGCTGAGTACATGAGTGAATATTAGTACTGAGACATAGATAGTGACTATCTTCTCATTCTAAATTAATTATGTTGCATATACAGTGCGGCAAAATGAAGAAAATAAGGATGGACAGTTTTGAACAAGAAAATGCATGTTTAAATTTTTCCACTAATGTTGCTTGCAGGCTCTTTTTCCAGACAATACATATGGAGTCGATAGTGGTGGGGACCCACAGGTCATTCCTAAGCTAACTTTTGAGGAATTCAAGGTGCGTAGCAAGTACTATGGTGTTTCCATCAAAACAGCATTATAATTTATTAACATATCTTTGTTTCAAAATGTAGCATGTCTTGAGTTTTATTTTATACAGTATATTTTTATTTTTATCAAGCATATATTTTGAATTGTACCTGCTATTAGCATTGTTATTCAACCAAGACTACTTTTAAAACTAAAAAAGCACTTTATTCACTGTTTCTATATTATAGATTGAGACCCCATTGTTGTATGTGTTTGTGATTCGTTGTGGAACATAGATATAGTTTGTGTTTTAGGGTGAGCAAGTGGTTCATTTTCTAACATGATTATACTAGATGACTGGATCTCATGCATTAATATGTTTTAGGGGATGCACTTGGAATGAAGCACGAACCTAAGTAGTAAAGTGTGGTTTCAATTAACATCTTTGAAGTTATGTGTATTTGTTTATTTCAAATGTTTTTTAATTGAAACCATTGGCTTATCTTATGAATTTTTCACTAATCAATTTTCTTTCATTTGACAGTATGTTAACTATGTTTAATTTGAGATTTACATTTTGATGGGTAATATAACTCAACATTTTGAAATAGTTATCAAAGCATTGAACTGTTTTTTTTGAGTGAAAAATAGTAGAGACATAAAAAGAACTTCCTTGAAAATTTACCCTTGATGGTATTGGACTATTGGCAACAAGTATGAAGAGGATCTACAAAAGTTGGTGTAGAATAAATTACTTAATTGCATGGGGCTATGGGAGATAATTTGTTAAATGGTTGGTTGATTAAGTTATTGAAAATATGTATTTAAATTGTTAATATAGATAAAATAATACTTTCAAAATATAAGTATAATTTAGAGGGAATGCAAAGTCAAGACTGTCAAAGAAGACAGCCTTAATAAAAACAATGGTATTAAAAAAATAAGAGCGTCACATGGACATCGTTGATGACTGCATAAATCACTGAATTGGGTTCTTTTTACGATTTCAATGGCTTGGTTGGGTGATTTTGCAGAACAAGAGTTTAATTTCCATTTTTAATATAGTATGAGGACTTATTTTGACAGTTTTCCATATATTTATATGTATTATTCCCTCCCAAAAAGTGTCTTGTTTTGAATATCTTTCATCTCCATAAAATGGTCATGTTTTGATCAAATGAAGCAAGTTTTTGAAAATAGAACAGGAATTCCTTGACAAACTAAATATCTAAAATTTTGTTTAGAGTAACAAAAAAGGTTAAAATTTATTTGTAGAACTCATGAACTATAGCAGTTGCGACTTAGCAAAAATAAAAATGTGTATCTTCAAGACATAAGATTCATTTGGAACAAATATAACATAAAACAGTCATCATCACCATCACCCCAGTGCTGCCAAGATAACATAAAATAGTATTGTTTCAAATTTATGCCACTCAATTCAAAGTCTGGATCCATCCCTGACCGAATCATGTCGTTTTTACCCGCATGACCACAGAGCTGTCATGGTTTCTTGCCACATTCTTAGCAATGTTGCGACACATCGACTTGTCGGTCTACACTCTACTTATTTATGCTGTTAAGCCTGGAAAAGTTATGAAATTTGAGTATGCAGTGTTCTTCCTAAAATGATTATGTAGGACTTCCACCGCAAATATTACCATCCTAGCAATGCCAGAATCTGGTTTTACGGCGATGATGATCCTACTGAGCGTTTGCGCATCTTAAGTGGTATGTTTCATTTCTTCCTTATTTTGCTAACTTCTTGTCAGGTCAAAAGTTTGAAAAATGTACATTAGCAGTGAATATCGATACACACTGTTTGAAGTTTCATTTA